CCAAAAGCTAAATCCATTGTAACGAAAGCCAATAAGGCAAAGGTAATTTTTTATTTTTACTTTTTCAAGTTGCACTACCTTATAAAGAAGCTCTCTAACCTATTTTTTAGAGAATTAAGTATACAGAACTGTCGGCAGAGGAACTTGGCACAATCCGGGAAATGCAAAGGTGAAAGCCACTCATGCGGTTACACAAATGTGGATAAATCTATTAGAAGAATTCCGTTCTGATATCAGATTCGAAGGTAAAATTGAGGAGGTGAACTCTAAAAAGGACCTAGAAGACCAATTGTCTAAGTTCGTATGTGTGATGAAATGACGTAATGGTGGTGAATATCACGCTAATTCAGTAAGAAGTTGCCTGGTGGCAATTTGGCATTACCTTAACCAGCACTTCGTTATGGAGAAACCAGTTGACATACTCAATCCGAAGGTGTACTTTGATTTAAATCAAGTCGTTAATGGAAAACTAAAAACTCTTTCTGCGAAGGGCTTTGGTGAGAAAACTGGGGCAGATGGGTTAACGAAAAATGAGGTTAAACAGATCCTTGATCACCCTACGATGCAACGCAATAGCCCTGAAGAATTGTTACAGCAGATCTTCTTTTTTAATTCAACTTTATTAGCTTTACGAGGTGGTGAACATAAAAGCCTCAAAATCAACAATTTCATCAAAAGATCCGATAGAGGAATTGACATTAAATTGTATCAGTCAAAGACTAACCAACAAGAGCTTGAAGATTATAATGCACAAGCAGAAGTAATTAGCTTGCCAAATATCAAAGATGTTATTGACGATTATGAATTTTATTTTAGTAAACGCCCAGCAACTACGGTGATGAATTTTTATTTGAAACCTTATAGTATAAATTCGGGTAAAGTATTTTATTGTAATTAGTTTTTTATTTTTTTATTTGCTAAATATACTAACTTATTTTAAGCTGAATTTAATGGATACTGGTATTATGGGCATGCATTTGGAGAACGAACATTGAGAAGTTACTTTTGCACTATATGTGAAACCGTTGGTATTCAGATTGGCACTCGTAATATTTTAAATCATTCAGAGAGAAAAACTGCGATACAACTACTGAAAGAACTCGGATATTCGGATTCTGTTGTAATGTTGATCACAAGACACAAGTCCCAAAAGGGTCTTGCTGCGTACGAACGACCAAAATCAGTGATGCAATGGGAAGGTATTAATGGATTTTTTAATGCATTGATACATGTTTCAAATGAAGTATTGAAAGGTAAATTTTATATAAATTTTAGAGTTTAATTGAAAGATTTAACTAATTGATTTTTTTTTTATTTCTTTTAGATGATGCTTCCGAAGCCAGTGCCACCCCAAGGAAAATGTTGACCCCAAAGTCAATGACATGCCCGAAGCCAGTGTCACCCCAAGAAAAATGTCACCCCCAAAGCCAATGCCAGCTCAAAAGCCAATGTCACCCCCAAAGCCAATGTCACCCCTGAAGCCCTATCAGATTGTGGGTTTGTTTCTGCAAGTTTGTATCGAGCCGAATCACAAGCATCATTAGCAAATGCTTTTGACGATCTTGATGTGTCCTCTCAAAATGATTCTTTTGCTGTATTGTC